TGGAGGATCAGCTGATCATGCAAAGCCTCCAGTCTATGGAAATCATTTCTCTGCTCAGACAAACAGAGACTCTGAACCAACACTAGTAGAGACTGGATTAAAAACTCATCATCTTATTGGAATAGAAGAAAAGCTAATTAAAATTAATATTTAACATTTCATTCAAACAGAAGTTTCTCTTCAATCTTGGAGGTGGATATATTTATCTTTGTAACTTTTACTGAAATCTCAATCCTATTAGATATTCTATGGTTTCCTAAAAATTGATCAAAAAGCTTAGTTTGTTTTGTTTTATATTATTGAAATTGAGTTTCTGCAGAGAGTATTTTTAGGACTTTGCAGCAGCAGAAATTGTATTTCTTCAGTGGAAAATCGTTTGCTGAAAGTGCAGGAGGTTTTTGTACGGCCTCTCAATGAGTTTGTATCACTGTGGTACACTTTTGGTGGAGGAACCAAACTCATCCTTAACTGTAAGTACCACCATTTAATATTGGAAAAATCAAAAATAAGTTTGAATAATTATTCTTTGTTCTGATCAAACGTTATTATTTTTGTGAGAATTTTATGTTTTTTTTTTATTTATTATGACTTTGTTACCATTAGGTCAAACAGTTTACATGTAATAAATGTGCATGTATTTTATTCTGTTTACAACATTATGTGATTATCTAAAACAAAACATTACATCAGTTCTGTATTTTTTTTAATTAAATAGTGATATATTCTTTTTAGACTTTTGTGAAGGTTCCTATTTCTGAAACCACAAATATATCCTTAAATTTAAACATTTTAATGCATAAAATTCTTTTGGCAATGCTTGTGATAATAATGAAATAAATAATGTAAAAATATAAACTTTATTTAAAGCAGTTTAAGTTTCCATTCGGTTAGTTTGATGCAGTAAAGAGGAAGTGAAACAGACAGATGGAAAATCTTTAACTGTGTTCAGCCATTTTGTTTTAGCAAATCAAATCTTTACACAACCAACGTATTTACAGCAAAATGTTTCTGCATTCACGTTAATATTTCACATCATGTTTCTCTGACGAGTCGAGGTCACAACATTTCAGCTCTGATGTGTTTTTATCTGGAAGCTCCAGAAGATTTTGACGTTAAATAAGAACCTGAAAGTGAAGTGAACATGGATTAAATAATCCCAGCCTCTTAATCATCCGTCTCCTCAGTGTTATTATAATCCATTATGATATCTGTGTCTCCCCTCCAGCCGGCCCCACGGTCAGACCCTCGGTCTCTCTGCTGCCCCCCTCCTCCCAGCAGCTCTCCGGCGGCTCGGCCACGCTGCTCTGCCTGCTGAGCGGCTACTCTCCTCAGGGAGCCCGGGTGAGCTGGGAGGTGGACGGCACGGCGGTGACAGAGGGGGTCCTGAGCAGCTCAGAGGAGGAGAAGAGCGGACGCTACGGCAGCAGCAGCACCCTGAGCCTGAGCCAGGAGACGTGGATGAAAGGGGAGCTGTACTCCTGCAGGGTGGAGCATCAGGGCCACAGCCAGGTCCAGAGCATCTCAAGGAGCCAGTGTGAGGGCCAGAGAGGCTGAGAGCAGGAGCTCTGAGTGGGAGAGCAGCAGGAAAAACAGCTGCTGCTCTCAGCAATAGGAGTCTGGAGGAAGACAAACTAAAGCTTGTGTGACGCTGAACTAAACTGCTGAGAAAAGTTTAACAACTTAGATTAATGTGTGAAGCTGATGTGAGTGGGATTCACTTGCTGTGTGTTTTAATAAAGCTTGCTCTGATACATTATGATGGAGAGTGCTTCATTACTGCCATGACAAAGAAGAAGAAAGTTGATTTTATCAAGACTGACTCTTTATATAATGGTAATTCAGGTAATTCAGCAACAAGTGATAGAATCAAATCAAACACTCTTTGCAATATTTGATTTTTGTATTTATTGTCAACCTTATAGATCAGAAAACATAATTCTCTCTGTCTATAATAATCATGTCAGCTCATTTTTGTTCAAGTGAGAACAGACAAATAATTCTCACATTAAAAAATCTTCAGCACAAACATTTTATTGAATATTAAAGATTTCATAATCATCAGTTATTTTAGTAAAAATACTTAAAAAAAGGTGTTTGACTTTAGTTTCAGAGTCAGGTGTTTCTCACTGAGTGAACTCTGTTGCATTAAATGAATAAAGACACACAGTGATCCTCCTTGGATTAGTTCAGGAAAATGACATCAGACGTGTTCATGACAGTAATTGTTGAAAAACTATTTATCCTGACGCTTTCATTAATCGAACCAATAGGCAGTTTGATTACTGATGGTTAATAAATATTTTCTTCACCTCAAACTTTATGCTGCAGTAAATAGTGATTTTACAGCAATGTGCTATATTTGATGTGTTTAATGAACATATTGAATCTTCTGAGACTCTCATGTGTTGTGAAAAGATTTCTGATGAACATAACTGATGTTATTGTGACATATTTTATACTCTGAGTTTATTTAAAACTCACATAAATGTTGATCTTTATTGTCAGTTTCTTCCATTAACACTACAGCATCAACTTCACTAAACCGTAGATCCTTGTTCCAGTCGGCAGCAGAAACTCACAGCAGCTGCACGGTGTGGTTTGACTGAGAGGTTTTTGTACGACTCTAAATCACTGTGTGAACACCCCAGCATCATTTACTAAATACACTCCCATACAGTAATAATTTCCAGCATCTCCAGCCTGAACTCCACTGATAGTCAGAGTGAACTGAGGCTCTGATCCACTGCTGCTGAAATGACTGGGAGTATCAGATTCAGGGCTGCTGATTTTATAAAATAACAGTTTGGGAGGCTGTCCTGGTTTCTGCAGGTACCAACTCAGATCATCATCAACTCCTTCACTGGCTGAGCAGCTCAGAGAGACCGTCTCTCCCAACGCCGCTGGCTTCACTGCTGGAGACTGAGTCACAGAGGGATTACCATCTGATCCTGCAGGATGGAAAAGGTAGAAAACATGTGACTGTCTTTCATCTGAGAACAAGTGAAATCAGAAGCTCGTCGTTCTTCACCTTGCAGCTGGAGCAGCAGCGTCATCAACAGAGGACTCAGGAACATCATGGCTGAGAAAAATTGGACCGTCAGACTGCAGAGGAGCTTCTCTGAGTTTCACTTTAAACTGATCCAGGAGCAGCGAAGCACAGCAATCATTCAAAGCAGCAAACAGTCAAACGGACACCTGGTGTGTGAGGAGGTGAAAGGTGAGTCAGACGCAAAATAGAAGAATTCAATATTTATTTATGGATTATCTCAGCACATTTTGTAGTTTTACACTGCAGGAAAAAAATAAATGATGACCATTCTCAACTAAAAGTAAAAGTTTTGGATCGATGACTTTTTGAAAAGGTTTGCAGTTTTATTCAAGTTTGATGATTTAACTGAGATTTAGGTGAGACAGTCTGCTTTTGAGGAAAAGTCACTGGATAAATGTGGTTCAGTTCACCAAGAAATAAAAACAAATGAAACAATCTTGTTTTATTAAGAGATTAAATGATGGACCCAACATGTAAGAAAATGTTTATGGTAATTTTGCAATAAGGAATCATTCAAGGGTCCACTAAAGGCCCCTGAACCTCCCTTTGGACACCCTGCATTACCTTGTTACTAATTGTTTGTGTTTCATGAAATATTTGAATCAATGCTGACGTCGTTTCTTTTACCAGAACATATTTACAAGAAAATAGTTATTTTCCTGGTGAAACCTGAGAGGAAACCAATAAACTGTTCAGATAAATTAAACCTCATTTAGTTTTTAACCTGATACTGAAAACATTAAGGAAATATTTCTAAACGTTTCATTTGATTTATCTTCCAAATTAAAATTATTCTGATCATAAAAAGCTAAAAAAAAATAACTATATTGTCTTTTCTGAAACAAATTGACTTTTTTTTCATTGCAAGAAATGTTTCATATCAAACAGATATTATTAATTGTAGTTAAAGGTGAAGATTTGCTGCAGAGCTTCAGGCCTTGGTGAGGTTTCATCAGTGTGTTCAGTGGTCTGTATCAGAGTGTGTTGAGTTTCTGCTCTAACAGCTCAGAGTGTCTGCAGTCTGACTGAGGGAGGTTTTTGTACGGCTACTAATCACTGTGTGAACACGTCAGCACCATTTACTACATGGATACTCTTACAGTAATAAACTGCAGCATCTTCAGTCTGAACTCCATTGATGGTCAAAGTGAAGACAGAGCCGCTTCCACTTCCACTAAACCGAGTTGGAGTTCCTGATTGAAGATTATTCACCCTATATATCAGGAGCTTTGGAGTTTCTCCTGGTTTCTGCTGATACCAGTGCATAAAATTGACAGAGCCGATACTGAAAACATCCTGATTTGTTGTACAGCTGACAGTGGCAGTGGATCCTGGTGTAAATGTCTCCACTGCAGGTTGAGTCACAGTGATCTGAGCTCTGCATCCTGCAGACAAAAACAAATCCTTCATTCATCAGCAGAAGGAAAGGAGAGAAAAGGCAGCAGCACATCATGTTAGAAACGTTGCTGAGTGAATGAACCTGTAAAACAGCAGCAGGTCAGCGTCCAGATGAGGATGGTGATGAGGGTCATGGTGCTTGTTGCTTCTGCTGGCTGGACTGACAGATCTGAGTCCTGCAGTGTTGAAGTCACAGGACTATAAACCTTCTCAGTTCACTGGAGGATCAGCTGATCATGCAAAGCCTCCAGTCTATGGAAATCATTTCTCTGCTCAGACAAACAGAGACTCTGAACCAACACTAGTAGAGACTGGATTAAAAACTCAGCATCTTATTGGAATAGAAGAAAAGCTAATTAAAATTAATATTTAACATTTCATTCAAACAGAAGTTTCTCTTCAATCTTGGAGGTGGATATATTTATCTTTGTAACTTTTACTGAAATCTCAATCCTATTAGATATTCTATGGTTTCCTAAAAATTGATCAAAATGCTTAGTTTGTTTTGTTTTATATTATTGAAATTGAGTTTCTGCAGAGAGTATTTTTATGACTTTGCAGCAGCAGAAATTGTATTTCTTCAGTGGAAAATCGTTTGCTGAAAGTGCAGGAGGTTTTTGTACGGCCTCTCAATGAGTTTGTATCACTGTGGTACACTTTTGGTGGAGGAACCAAACTCATCCTTAACTGTAAGTACCACCATTTAATATTGGAAAAATCAAAAATAAGTTTGAATAATCATTCTTTGTTCTGATCAAACGTTATTATTTTTGTGAGAATTTTATGTTTTTTTTTTATTTATTATGACTTTGTTACCATTAGGTCAAACAGTTTACATGTAATAAATGTGCATGTATTTTATTCTGTTTACGACATTATGTGATTATCTAAAACAAAACATTACATCAGTTCTGTATTTTTTTTTTATGAAATAGTGATATATTCTTTTTAGACTTTTGTGAATGTTCCTATTTCTGAAACCACAAATATATTCTTAAATTAAACATTTTAATACATAAAATTCTTTTGGCAATGCTTGTGATAATAATGAAATAAATAATGTAAAAATATAAACTTTATTTTAAGCAGTTTAAGTTTCCATTCGGTTAGTTTGATGCAGTAAAGAGGAAGTGAAACAGACAGATGGAAAATCTTTAACTGTGTTCAGCCATTTTGTTTTCGCAAATCAAATCTTTACACAACCAATGTATTTACAGCAAAATGTTTCTGCATTCACGTTAATATTTCACATCATGTTTCTCTGACGAGTCGAGGTCACAACATTTCAGCTCTGATGTGTTTTTATCTGGAAGCTCCAGAAGATTTTGACGTTAAATAAGAACCTGAAAGTGAAGTAAACTTGGATTAATTAATCCCAGCCTCTAAATCATCCGTCTCCTCACTGTTATTATAATCCATTGTGATATCTGTGTCTCCCCTCCAGCCGGCCCCACGGTCAGACCCTCGGTCTCTCTGCTGCCCCCCTCCTCCCAGCAGCTCTCCGGCGGCTCGGCCACGCTGCTCTGCCTGCTGAGCGGCTACTCTCCTCAGGGAGCCCGGGTGAGCTGGGAGGTGGACGGCACGGCGGTGACAGAGGGGGTCCTGAGCAGCTCAGAGGAGGAGAAGAGCGGACGCTACGGCAGCAGCAGCACCCTGAGCCTGAGCCAGGAGACGTGGATGAAAGGGGAGCTGTACTCCTGCAGGGTGGAGCATCAGGGCCACAGCCAGGTCCAGAGCATCTCAAGGAGCCAGTGTGAGGGCCAGAGAGGCTGAGAGCAGGAGCTCTGAGTGGGAGAGCAGCAGGAAAAACAGCTGCTGCTCTCAGCAATAGGAGTCTGGAGGAAGACAAACTAAAGCTTGTGTGACGCTGAACTAAACTGCTGAGAAAAGTTTAACAACTTAGATTAATGTGTGAAGCTGATGTGAGTGGGATTCACTTGCTGTGTGTTTTAATAAAGCTTGCTCTGATACATTATGATGGAGAGTGCTTCATTACTGCCATGACAAAGAAGAAGAAAGTTGATTTTATCAAGAGTGACTCTTTAAATAATGGCAATTCAGGTAATTCAGCAACAAGTGATAGAATCAAATCAAACACTCTTTGCAATATTTGATTTTTGTATTTATTGTCAACCTTATAGATCAGAAAACATAATTCTCTCTGTCTATAATAATCATGTCAGTTCACTTTTGTACAAGTGAGAACAGACAAATAATTCTCACATTAAAAAATCTTCAGAACAAACATTTTATTGAATATTAAAATTTTCATAATCATCAGTTATTTTAGTAAAAATACTTTAAAAAATGGTGTTTGACTTTAGTTTCAGAGTCAGGTGTTTCTCACTGAGTGAACTCTGTTGCATTAAATGAATAAAGACACACAGTGATCCTCCTTGGATTAGTTCAGGAAAATGACATCAGACGTGTTCATGACAGTAATTGTTGAAAAACTATTTATCCTGACGCTTTCATTAATCGAACCAATAGGCAATCAGTTTGATTACTGATGGTTAATAAATAATTTCTTCACCTCAAACTTTATGCTGCAGTAAATAGTGATTTTACAGCAATGTGCTATATTTGATGTGTTTAATGAACATATTGAATCTTCTGAGACTCTCATGTGTTGTGAAAAGATTTCTGATGAACATACCTGATGTTATTGTGACATATTTTATACTCTGAGTTTATTTAAAACTCACATAAATGTTGATGTTTATTGTCAGTTTCTTCCATTAACACTACAGCATCAACTTCACTAAACCGTAGATCCTTGTTCCAGTCGGCAGCAGAAACTCACAGCAGCTGCACGGTGTGGTTTGACTGAGAGGTTTTTGTACGACTCTAAATCACTGTGTGAACACCAATTCATCATTTACTAAATACACTCCCATACAGTAATAATCTCCAGCATCTCCAGCCTGAACTCCACTGATAGTCAGAGTGAACTGAGGCTCTGATCCACTGCTGCTGAAATGACTGGGAGTATCAGATTCAGGGCTGCTGATTTGATAAAATAACAGTTTGGGAGGCTGTCCTGGTTTCTGCAGGTACCAACTCAAGTCAGCAAAATCTTCTTCACTGGCTGAGCAGCTCAGAGAGACCGTCTCCCCCAACGCTGCTGGCTTCACTGCTGGAGACTGAGTCACAGAGGGATTACCATCTGATCCTGCAGGATGAAAAGGTAGAAAACATGTGACTGTCTTTCATCTGAGAACAAGTGAAATCAGAAGCTCGTCGTTCTTCACCTTGCAGCTGGAGCAGCAGCGTCATCAACAGAGGACTCAGGAACATCATAGCTGAGAAAAATTGGACCGTCAGACTGCAGAGGAGCTTCTCTGAGTTTCACTTTAAACTGATCCAGGAGCAGCGAAGCACAGCAATCATTCAAAGCAGCAAACAGTCAAACGGACACCTGGTGTGTGAGGAGGTGAAAGGTGAGTCAGACGCAAAATAGAAGAATTCATATTTATTTATGGATTATCTCAGCACATTTTGTAGTTTTACACTGCATGAACAAAATAAATGATGACCATTCTCAACTAAAAGTAAAAGTTTTGGATCGATGACTTTTTGAAAAGGTTTGCAGTTTTACTCAAGTTTGATGATTTAACTGAGATTTAGGTGAGACAGTCTGCTTTTGAGGAAAAGTCACTGGATAAATGTGGTTCAGTTCACTAAGAAATAAAAACAAATGAAACAATCTTGTTTATTAAAAGATTAAAAGATGGACCCAACATGTAAGAACAAGAAAATGTTTATGGTAATTTTGGAGTAAGGAATCATTCAATGGTCCACTAAAGGCCCCTGAACCTCCCTTTGGACACCCTGCATTACCTTGTTACTAATTGTTTGTGTTTCATGAAACATTTGAATCAATGCTGATGTCGTTTTTTTACCAGAACATATTTACAAGAAAATAGTTATTTTCCTGGTGAAACCTGAGAGGAAACCAATAAACTGTTCAGATAAATTAAACCTCATTTAGTTTTTAACCTGATACTGAAAACATTAAGGAAATATTTCTAAACGTTTCATTTGATTTATCTTCCAAATTAAAATTATTGTGATCATAAAAAGCTGAAAAAAAACTATATTGTGTTTCTGAAACAACTGTACACAGACATGTTATGTTGCGCAACAATCTGAAAAATGAATTTTATAAATATTAATGTGTCTTCATAATGGACTTTTCTTTATTTTATTGTAAGAAATGTTTCATATCAAACAGATTAATAGTTAAATGAAGATTTGCTGCAGAGCTTCAATCCTTGGTGAGGTTTCATCTGTGTGTTCAGTGGTCTGTATCAGAGTGTGTTGAGTTTCTGCTCTAACAGCTCAGAGTGTCTGCAGTCTGACTGAGGGAGGTTTTTGTACGGCTACTAATCACTGTGTGAATACGTTAGCACCATTTACTTCATGGAAACTCTGACAGTAATAAACTGCAGCATCTTCAGTCTGAACTCCATTGATGGTCAAAGTGAAGGAAGAGCCGCTTCCACTGCCACTAAACCGAGCTGGAGTTCCTGATTGAAGATCATTCACCCAATATATCAGTAGCTTTGGAGGCTGTCCTGGTTTCTGCTGATACCAGTGCATAAAATGACAGAGCCGATACTAAAACATCCTGATTTGTTGTGCAGTTGATGTGACAGTGGATCCTGGTGTAAATGGCACCAATGCAGGTTGAGTCACAGTGATCTGAGCTCTGCATCCTGCAGACAAAAACAAATCCTTCATTCATCAGCAGAAAGAAAGGAGAGAAAAGGCAGCAGCCCATCATGTTAGAAACGTTGCTGAGTGAATGAACCTGTAAAACAGCAGCAGGTCAGCGTCCAGATGAGGATGGTGATGAGGTCATGGTGCTTGTTGCTTCTGCTGGCTGGACTGACAGATCTGAGTCCTGCAGTGTTGAAGTCACAGGACTATAAACCTTCTCAGTTCACTGGAGGATCAGCTAATCATGCAAAGCCTCCAGTCTATGGAAATCATTTCTCTGCTCTCAGCACACTCAAAGTGAAAAATCTTGTGAGCAGAACTTAGGCAAACATTTTTTATTAAACGTAATGTATTCAAATGGATACTGTATGCATTGCAGATTTTTTTGTGTCTTGTTTTGACTAAAGGCCAAATATGATTTACTGAAAAACTCTTAACCTTTCCATCATTTGTTCTTAATTTTATGTAAGATGTGCTCTATTTATTTATCCATTTCCTATACTGATCCTCTTTATATGTTTTTAAAGTGCCTAGAAGCACCTTTTTGTTCAGATCAGGGAAATTTTCAATCTATTGTGATTTAATTATTTATAAATTTTTAATAATGATACATATTTCTTGTAGGAATGCATGTGAAGCAATGTATTTCTTCATATTTCCAACTTCTATAGGTAACAATGTTAATTTTCTTCAGAATAAAGAAAATGCATTAAATGAAATAAACAGAGCATTAACTTGTTGCTGTGAGTTGTGTCAAAAAACACCTGAAGCTGTATCTTTACCAGCGTATCTCAGACAAAGTTGTTGCTTGTTTATTAATACAACTGTCTGCACAGAAATACATGGAAAACTAAATTCTCATTCTTTCATCTTGACCATCTTCTAGTATTTTGGGAGGTTTAAATCAACTAAAAACATGTATTTGTTTTTTTTTTTTTGTTTTGGGGGGTTTTCCTCGTGAGATTGGAGATGCAAAAGGGAATTAAAAGTGAATGTTTATTACTGGTACACGACATTTTCATCATTTCCCATTCCTGTAAGTCAGAGCTCTGCGTGTGTGTTTGCATGTGTGTGTGAGACTGTTTCTGTAAGCAGTGGTGCATCATGCCGGTCTCCTTCCACCCAGATGTCTGATCTGAGGGAGGTTTTTGTACGGCTTTGTAACACTGTGTGCACAGGCCTGGGTGGACACCCATACAGTAATAATCTCCAGCATCTCCAGCCTGAACTCCACTGATAGTCAGAGTGAACTGAGGCTCTGATCCACTGCTGCTGAAATGACTGGGAGTATCAGATTGCCGGCGGCTGATTTTATAAAATACAGTTTGGGAGGCTGTCCTGGTTTCTGCAGGTACCAACTCAGATCATTACCAACTCCTTTACTGGCTGAGCAGCTCAGAGAGACCGTCTCTCCCAACGCTGCTGGCTTCACTGCTGGAGACTGAGTCACAGAGGGATTTGCTGCCAATCCTGTGAAACAAAATTTTATTTCGTGAAAACCATAAATGCAGGACATCCATCATGAAATGCATCTTCCCCAATTTCCTTGCTCACCTTGAAACAGGATTGCCAGAATAGGCAGTAAAATCAGAGCCACCTTCATTGTGGATGTATGCAGTAAGATAAAATAATGTGCTACAAGATAAACCACACAGCCCAGCGCTTTAATAAAGCCTGATGTTCAGGGAAGTGCAGCAGATATTCAAATTATTACATGGTTGAATGCAGAGCAGCACAGCAGGAACCGGATGAGAAGTATCAGTTTCTGCACAGACAGATCCTGCCCTCTTGCGGGAACCTGATTAAAATAAGATGCATTTACATAGTGCATCTAAATTTACTCTTTCTGAATGAGATTCTCTAAATTTATGGAAGATACAGCCATGGATTATTCTTAATTAAATTCAAGATAAAAATTTCCTCTGAATTTTAACAGGAAGTCAGTGATGTAAAGCCAGGTCTCTCTTGTAAAAGATGAGCTGCTGCCTCTTGAAACATTTTGATCATGAAGGGCTGGTCAGCTTAGCAAAAGAGGCTGAGTGAGATTCTGAAGAAAACATTCAAGTTTGGTTTTCTAATAGTATCAAGACTTTGTACTTCTTTTCAATTTAGTAAGTCAGTTCATTTGTTTCTGACCCTGCACTTAGCAATTAAAAGTAAATGCAACCTTTAACCCCAAATATGTTGGTCTGATGCATTAAGATCAGACTTTACAAAGCAATCAAAATATCCCAGACAGAC